GGCACAGTGGTAGTGTTGCTGGGTTTTTTTTAATGAAATTCAGAGCACTCCTAAGCCTATTCCATAACCTGTGTGGTTATTTTGCACCCAAATAGAACTATGGGCAGTGTTATCTGAGGTGACAACCCTATGATGTATTTGGTGAGTTGTGGTATTGAAAGGGATGACAGAGAAACCTCCCTCCTCTATTTTCATCTACCGTATGATTTTAAAATTTTAATATATATTTTCCTATTGATGCACCGCTATTCCAGATAAACACGGTTCATTGGTGGCATTATATGTACCATGTTAGGTATATGCATTGCTGTTTTGCTATGTCACTTACTTTATTTAACAAGAAAAAGGAAAGTTGCAATGGCTCACTGATGGTTGCAGGAGAAGGTGGGGAAAGGAAGGATAAGGGAAGTGTCATTATTTAAAAGGGGGACAATTTGGGGATAATTTGGGGCAGTCAGAAGGCCTGTCTGGGGTCTTCTCATGGGAGAAAAAACATCAGTCAGTGTGAACAGAAGGATCCCTCAAGTAAGAGATAAAATAAACAGGACTATTAAATACAAGCCAGACTGCTTCAGTTTCCCACATCTGGACATACCCTTAGTTCATGCCTGCTGCCACAATGAATTAAATGTATCTCAGTAATTTAGGTATCTGGATGGAGAACTAGAAGCTGGGAGTTTGATTCCCCACTGTGCCTCCTTGACAAGGGCGGGACTTGATGATCCATAATGTCACTTCCAGATCTGCAGCTCTAATATGATGATGACTGCTTCAGTTTCCCACATCTGGACATACCCTTAGTTCATGCCTGCTGCCACAATGAATTAAATGTATCTCAGTAATTTAGGTATCTGGATGGAGAACTAGAAGCTGGGAGTTTGATTCCCCACTGTGCCTCCTTGACAAAGGCGGGACTTGATGATCCATAATGTCGCTTCCAGATCTGCAGCTCTAATATGATTATGATGATGAAATGAGTAGGAGAAACAGAGATAGAGGTCATCAAAATTCCAGGTGAAACTAGAGGTTTCTGTTTAGGCAAAATATCTGCAGGAATTCTGAGGGAACTTCAAGCCATCTCAGTACCATTGGCAAAGGTTTTTCTCCCCTGCATTGACTGACGAGCGAGCGACTTCCCAATATACCAGAGAATTTGCGTCAAAGGAGCCACCAGCAAGGGACTGTAGCTAGAATGTAAGAGAATCAAAATGAAGGCTTCCCCATACCAAATGCGGGCTTATTGGAAGCTAGTTTCTGGCAGTAGTGACAGTGCTGGCGAGCGCGGCAGCAACAAAAGATTACTCTCCCTCTCACTTGTTTTGCCTCCATGCAGAGCCTTTCAGTCAAACTCCATGGTTTGTTCTGCCTTGTGAACAGCCTCAGGATGAAGCCTGCTTAGCAAAGATGGGGGATATGTGGCCTTCCCTGCACTTTTGGAGTGGACTGTAGCTCTAAATAGCAACTAGACCATTGATGATGCTGGCTGGGGCTGATGGGAGCTGGAGTCCAACAATACTGAGGGTCACACATTCCCTACTCCCACTGCAAAGCATGGCAGGACCTTGTTTGGTACAATAGCAGTTTGTAGGCAAACTCACTATTGATTGTGGACAAAGTACAAGTACAGTGGTGCCTCGCTTAACGACTGGGGCTGATGGGAGCTGGAGTCCAACAACACTGAGGGTCACACATTCTCTACTCCCACTGCAAAGCATGGCAGGATCTTGTTTGGTACAATAGCAGTTTGTAGGAAAACTCACTATTGATTGTGGATAAAGTACAAGTACTGGGTATTCCCAGAAGCAATTCTTCCCACTCATTATGGGCTTAGTTTCAGTTGTTCCAGACCGAGGATGTCTTGGTGGTCAGTGACCTTCTACATGTCTGCATAACCATTGCCATCCAATGGGTTTTCTTCTCACTGGCACTGCAGTTGGCTTTGCGAAGACAGGTAAGCGTTTCGCTTACCGATCTTCGCAAAACGAACCCTGACGAGCAGCTGTTCGGCAGCCAAAATGGCCGCTGGAAGCCGGGAAATGGCCCAAAATGGCCACGCGCAGCATTTTCACGCCCTCGTTAAGCGAGGCGAGGGCGCGAAAATGGCTGCCGGCCATCCTGAAGCTTCACTGAACAGTGAGTATTTGGCCTATTTGGAACGCATTAAACGATGTTTAATGCGTTCTAATGGAAATCGCTGCCCCGTTCAGCGATGCTTCAGCATAGCGAAGGTTAATCCGGAACGGATTAACCTCGCTATGCGAGGCACCACTGTACTGGGTATTCCCAGAAGCAATTCTTCCCACTCATTATGGGCTTAGTTTCAGTTGTTCCAGACCGAGGATGTCTTGGCAGTCAGTGACCTTCTACATGTCTGCATAACCATTGCCAGCCAGTAGGTTTTCTTCTCACTGGCACTGCAGTTGGGTTGCATGGCCAATAAGCAATGTGTGTCCTTCCATGTTGTTAGAGTCCAATTCCCATCAGCCCCAACCAGCAGTGTCAATGGTCAACGAGTCAGCTGTTTGAGCTTTAGGCAGTGATGGAGTAGGGAAGAAAAGAAGGAAGGACTTAAGGATAACAGTGGTGGGAGAAAACACCTTTGTTCTAGTGTTAAATTCAACTCCCCAACAAACCTGGAACGAAACAAGAGCTGCATTTTCAGAAAGGGACAAAAATCTCACAAAGTTATAGATGTTGTTACTGTGTGAACCTTATGTCATATAGTAGGAAGCATACCAATATCAGCAGTGACTGATCAGGTGCATTTCGAAGAACAAAAGCTCTTTCTGGGAGAGCCTTGAGTCTGTGTGTGTGAGTGTGTGTGATGTGCAACAATTTCTAGTTACCTTAAAGGACATTTTAAGGAATTTTTAGAGACTTTTTGAGAGCTTTTTACATTTCATATCACAAAAAAACCTAAAAGGTAATTAATAATGCAACTAGTAACTTAACTAGTGACATAATGGGTTGTTTTTTAAGAATTGTAACAAGAAAGCAGCAGACTACGACGCAGGGGCTTTGCAACTAGTTACAAATTTGAAAAGAAAATTGCAAATTTTAATGCAGCTTAAACCAGTGAGGGTTTTTTTCTCTTTAAAAACAAAATCCCTTTGTGTTTTTTCTTGCCACATGGAACTGCTGGGGAAAGTCATCTGTGAATTTTTGGTTAGGCGTGCTAGTTTGTTGTAGTCAGTAACGTCTGAGCACTGTACTATAGTCAGATGCTACGTCATGTGTGTCATGATATTTAAGGAGAGTGGGAATTGTAGTCAACGAGAATGAGAGAAAATGGAGTCTGTTAGGTTTCAAAGTGAAAGGAGTTGAAGACATGGGAATGCAGTAAAGGCTGAGAGGCTGTTTTTCCTAATTTACAGCCAGGCTGGTACAGAGTGAAGCCTGATAAGAGGCAAGGTCAAAGACGCTCCAGTGTGAAGACCCAACAAATTCCTGTCTAATTGGAATGGAGATTACCTCCTGCATCTCCATGAGAATTGGAGGCGGAGTGGACATTTACGCCTCATGGTTTACAGCCATGAAGAAGGAAGTCCGAGGAATGTAGAAAAATGGACGATGGGTTATGTTAAGAGGAGACCATTTTCCGGAAGAGAACTTTTTCCTGTGAGAAGTTCCTGATGGTTTGTGTTATGTAGCTGAAAGGAAAAGAATGTAGCATAGTAAGAAAAGAAGGAGGCGGGGCTAGCCCACCTTAGCTCAGCTTTTTTTAGTGTTTATTATTTTAACGGGAAGTAGTTGTTGTATTTAACTATGATAATCCTTTGAACATGTCTTTATGCTAATGCTTAAGCAAACAAACTGTTTCTATGAAACTGTATTTTCTTAATAAAAATAATTATAAAAAATCCAACTGAGGACTAGTCTCTTGGAGCAGCAGGGTTTGGCTAAATCCAGAGGAGTAGTAAAGGCCATTTACTAGCTACCATAGGTAAAGGTAAAGGTTCCCCTTGACATTTAGTCCAGTCGTGTCTGACTCTAGGGTGCAGTGCTCATCCCTATTTCCAAGCTGTAGAGCCAGCGTTTGTCCATAGACAGTTTCCATGGTCACTTAGCCAGTGCGACTAGACATAGAATGCTGTTACCTTCCCACCATGGTGGTACCTATTTATCTACTCACATTTGCATGCATTCGAACTGCAAGGTTGGCAGGAGCTGGGACAAGCGACGGGAGCTCACTCTGTCACGTGGATTCGATATTACGACTGCTACCATAGAGAAGTCCTATTTAAATGACTTGTGAGTTCTAAGGAATCACAAAGCTCCTGCTGCAGTACTTACAAAGTGCTGAGTAAAGTAAAGTATTCTTTAAGGGTCAGGCTTGTTCAAGGCATAAATGCTATGGACTGCTGAAGCTTGGGAACTTGCCTCAATGCAAAGTGGTAGATTTGTGGCCTGTGGAACTCCATGCCCAAATGCCATATGCTCCTTAGGGAGATCCGAGCATCACAATGTGCATTTTCCAAAAATGATGGAAGCATATGTGGTTTCAGTTTGTTTGTTTGTTTGTTTGTTTGTTTGTTTGTTTGTTTACTTATTTATTTATTTATTTATTTATTTATGAATGCAAGTGGATTTTAAAAAAAGAAAACCACAAGAAAAAAAGGCAAAAAAAAACCCCCAGACAGACTGTATTATCAGTATTATTATAATTTTTAAAAATCTTGTCATGAGTTGACTTATTCTCTTCAGGTCACTATGGGACTTTAGAAATCACTACAGATTGAGGAATGGGAGGAATTTCATTAGGAAATGAGCCTAAACCCTCACAGTGATTTAGGGACTCTTTGAAAACAGAACTCTTTTCCAGCCTCCTCCACCCAAATAAATGAATGAGAACCGCAGGGCCTTTGCATCACTGCGTTGGTCCACTCCTGTGGGCTCTAGAAGGGCTTTGAAGCCCAGTGAAACGAAATAGGTCAGGTATGTGACTGAGGCCATGGATACTATATTTACTTTTCAGGCTGTCATGCAGCTGAGCACTATACATAGCTGTCTTTGCTCAAGGCAAAAGGCTTCAGCCCATGGAGAGCTTTTCATTTCCAAAAATGCCTACGAGTTTAATTAAACTCCTTGTATGAACCAGCTGGCAGGAGTCATCACTTTACCAGCTTGTCTGTCTGCAATTCCAAGTAAGTAATCGTCTTTATTGTAAAATTTCTGGTTGATGCCAAGTGGCCATAATTTCCTCAGGAGCTTTGCCTTTAACCTTTGTAATTTCAATAAGAGATATATGAACATTTCTTTCTTTCTTTCTTTCCCTGATAAAGGGAATTGCTTATGCATCCATTTTGGTGTACAGCAGTAGTCTTTGCAAATCTGTTCATAAAATATGATAGCATGGAAACAGAATTTTAAAATGGGTTTATGGCATGCTCTTGGATTTGCATAGCAGAGAATTTAAAGCAGAGAATTAATTTGTGCAGTAGTGTAAATTTCGATGTGCACTGACATTTGCTAAATGACTAATCCCTTTACATAGTTCAAGAATTGGCTGGGAAAACCTTATGTACCTCCCAATCTCCTGCTTACTTGCCTTTTATTGCTATACAAAAATGTACATATAAATGGTTTCTGTGACATTTCCTTCATCACCTAAATTTCTTTTCTTTTCTGTCAGGTGAAGATGGGTGTTCTGGCTGTATTAATTCTCCCACTTCTTGTGGTAGGAATCAGTGGTGTGGTATATATTTATCGGACAATTGTTCAGATGATGTCAAAATCTGCTGTGCGGAGCAAAGTTGTAATAATTACTGACGCTCTCTCTGGTGTGGGCAAGGGTGAGTAGCTGCAGGAAGTGATTAATATTTTGCTGTGACAGCAGACACGCACAGTTTCTACAAATCTGAATGTCTGTGACAAGACATAGTCACTGGAATATGTCCTCTGATGCATGAAACACTGCTAATCCTAAGAATCTTTTTAATCATTGAAAAGAAACAAACCATGCATTTTGAGCCCTTATGGGGGGGGGGGAAGCTTAGAAATGTGAGAAGCATTGTCTAAAGGATCAGATGCCAAAAGTTCTGATCGGAGCAATATGAGCAATAGAAAAAGTGTATTTGTGTTTTGTTGGATGTGTTAATGTGCATCGAGAATAGATCTTTCAGTAATATTATTAGAATCACAGAGTTAGACAGGACTACAGTATGGACATTTTGCATAATCCAATCTCTGCAGTAAAAAATTAAGGCTTGTTCATGAATGGCATTCTCCAAATTACTCAATGTATTTCCATTCCCAGGTCAGTATTGCTTCCTATAGCACACAGACTGTTCTGTTGTCCAAACACCATCGCTCTCTGGCAAGCATTACATCCTTTCTCCTTCACTGCATCTTGAAAGAAACTCAGAATTCTTCAGGATCAAATATGTTTCAGTGTTTTTGAAGTTCTGTTAACCCATACGACATGGCACTGGGAAACTCAGAATTCTTCAGGATCAAATATGTGTTTTTGAAGTCTGTTAACCCATACGACATGGCACTGGGGAGGGGAATTTACAGCCACAAATTATATGTGCTTGTATATAAATTCACCAGTCTCTCCTAATGAATTTTGTAAGAGAAACTGGGTGATTTTGCACTGTAAATTGTACAGATTTATTGGGAGATTTAGGGTCCCACTGTGCAGAAAATATTCACCCAAATACAGGCATGTCACTAGACTTTGTTTGGAGAAAATCTCATTCACACAACAGTCAATGTAGGCTGGAAAAAAACTGACACTCAGGTGGATCCAGAATTAGTTGAAAAGCTGCCTTCTCATGCAGTGAGTTTTAGGTGAAAGAAATTGATCTATTTATAGTGGGAGAGCAATGCTGCAGCGGTGAGATCTAATTGCACATACAGTAACTATCAGGTGGCAGCAAGATGGTATAAATAGATAATTTTGATGATCCATTAGTTATGCACCAGCACTGAGCTTTAAGTTGGAGGGTTATCCTGTAACTAAATTGTTTGCATCCATTGGGGGCAAGACCTTGAGTAGGCAGCAGTCATTCACTTAGTAGCTGGTTTCATTGCTATGGGGAGGTATCAGGGGAATGGAAAGGGATCTGCCTCTGGTGCATGGAGTTGTCCGCTAGGCTGGCCCTGCTGCTTGCCAGAGGGGTAGAAAAGGGAGCAGCCATGGGAAAAATCATAGGCACCATTTGGCCTATGGCAACTGGGCAAGATAAGTGAGGAAGACAAAGTTACACAGCTTGCATCCGTTCCCCATGGTAGAAGATCTGCAGATCTTGACATTTACTAGAGCTCTACCAGGATGGAATGTGGATGGTGGAGCAAGTCCCTTAAAACACACACGCACGCAGAGGGGTGGGGTGGGGAAAAAAGGGGGATACCAAAATATAGACAGTCATTCTGTTGAGATTATATTGAGTCAGGTATCACAAGAATACAGTACAACAAGGCAATGAATCGTAGCAGCAAGATGTGCATTGGCAGCTCATGATTAGAGCAGACAGCTGAAATTTTGAAGGAATCCCGCCACCTGGATCATGAGCTGCCCTGGAGGCTCTGGTATATTTTGCTGAAGATCACAACTGCACTCACTGATTTTAATTATGTTAAGGGTAAAGAAACTCTGGTTTGTCGGTTACTGGACTAGGCATTACACATGGGATTGCACAGAATCAGTTCATAAGAACATTTAGGTGCAATTATACCCATGTTTATGAATATATTATGTTGCAAATGCACCTTCTTTGCTCTTCATGTACACCATCTGTAGTACTGGAGAGAGAGAGAGAGAGAGAGAGTATGTTTATATACCCTGTGCAGTGAAAAGAATGGTTTTCTTCTTTGTATTTCAAATTAACAGTAATATGAGTTGATTTTCTATTTTCTTGAATCAACATTCCTCATTCCTTCCAGAATGTTCACGAGTATTTCATGTTGGTGGAGCCAGGCTAGTTCTGTGTGGTAAGAACTTGGACAAGCTAGAGGAGCTCTATGGTGAATTAAACAGTGCTGCTGATCCTAGGGCTGTAAGTATATATCCTGAGAGTTTGTGCCAACAGAAATAAGACTGATCTGTATGAAAAGGACAGGTGATTAGCACCGAGTAGGAGTGTAATCATTATTGGTACTTCCAAATTTGATTTTTTTTGTCTGACAAATTTACCAACCAGGACACATTCTACCATGAGGAAGTGTGGGGCAGTCACACTTATTCTGCAGTTGCTGTTGTTTTCAGATCATCCCCATTCTACCTATTCCCATCTTCTCTTGAATTGTTATCTTTGGGAGTATTGCTGCATACTTACTGCTGGTATGGGTTGCTTTGCCCATTTACTTTTCCAATGTGTCAATATTTATAGGTGGCACTCACTCTGACCCAGTAATCAGGCACAGAAGCAGTCAACCCAGACCATGCACCTTCCTGCTGGCTTGCTCCCTGGGCATGCCTTACTCTGCCTTATATGACTGGTGCCAGTGATGCAACGGTTGCATTGCAGCATTTGTCTAAAAGCAAGGCAAAGTTTGCTGCCCCATAGTGCTTAAAGCACTCTCTGGGTGGTTTACAATCTAGTTATGCAAGCTACACATTCCCCATCCCTACCCCCAAGTGAGCTGGGTACTCAGTTTACCAACCTTGGAAGGATAAGAGGCTGAGTCAATCTTGAGCCAGCTACTTGAGCCAATCAGGATTGATTGCAGTACTGCAGTTTAACCACTGTGCCACAAGGCTCCTTTAAGTGGGCAGTGGCATTCCTAGGGAGGGTGTTAAATGAACAGGGGCAAAATATTTGACTTGTTTGTGCCATGTACCCTGGTTTGCATACCAGAAGCAAGCCTGCCCCACTGCAATATGATGCAGGACGCTACAGATCAGTGGGTGTGTTCTGTAAGTGGAGTGGTGTGTGTGCGCGTGTGCCACTTTGTTCCTTACCTCAGTCTGCGAAACATCTTTGTAATGAGGTGTAGGAAGTTCAAAGATCTATTTCAGTGTGAGATGGCAGATGCAAATCCTGTTAAGAAACAGATGAGTGAAGGAATCACAGGCTTAAAGAAGAAGCATAAAAAGTAAAAAAAAAGCTAAGGATGGGGGTGCCACACATGCCCAACTTTGGTGGCTGCATCTACTCACACAACTCCCAGCCTAAAATTATTTTTCTTTTAAAAAATGCTTCTTTAACTGAAAAAGATTCCTTGTACCCTCTAGGGCTAAAATACACACCATGTTTGTTTTTTAAATGGAGGGGACAGACACATGGTGGGTTTCTAGAATATGGCAAGATTCCCACCCCACACTCTTCCTGGATAGCATAAGAGGACTTCTAAGCCAACCTGCTCTCAAAACCATGTTTATTTGAGTGTGTGTCTCTGTGTGCTGGAGTTCACATTTGGAGCCCTGGGATGCTACATTTGGCACATGGGGCTCCTTTTTGCCCTCTCTTGATGTGAGCCAACCTAAGAATGGCAGCATCCATGCCCAGCAGAATAAGACTAATACCTGATCAAAGTAAGATGAAGCAAAGAGCACTGTACAATCTTCTAAATGATACAGTGAGCCATAAGAAAAGGCTATGCATGAGTAATGTATATCCTATCAAAGGAACAGCTCAAACAATTCTAGGCATGAAAATAATCATTGAGTTGGACACAAACCTCTGCACATATTTGCGTGTAGTCTCAACAGCATTATTTTTGAATATTTTCAGGATTAATTAAGATTGACTGATTGGTTGATTTATACATGCCACCTTTCCCCCTATAGAGGACCCAAGGCAACTCACAAGAGATAAAACAACAGGTTAAAAAACACTGTATAAATATTATATATTTTTTTAAAAAAAATTAAACGTATATTTAAAAAAAATTTAAATCAAGTTTAAAAACAATTCAAGATACACTCATTTTCCAAAATCAGTATGCACTGTAATGTGCCACAAGTAAGGATGCCACCTACAACAAATTACAATTTGTACTAAGAATCACATTCCCATTTACAAAGCAATGCAGCATCTGCAACTTTGTTGGATTTTCTTTGTGAAGGAAGTAATGTTTTTATTCATTCGGGGCCCAGGATGATCAACGGTCAGAGTTGTTCTTGTTCTGCTTTTCACTTTTAAGGAAAGCCCCCATACCATTCAGAGCAATACAAGACCCTGGTTACTCAACTCCTTGTTTCTAGTGGTGCTAATATACAGGCAGAGTGAATAATGTGATACAGCATGAAATGTGGCTCTGGCTGCTTGTCAGTCAGACTTCTGCGTGCCTAGAGTCTAACATTACTCAACTACACCAGCACTCTAGCCACTGGGACCTTTGATCTGACAAGGTGCTAACTGGCAATTCTTAACTCTTTATTTTTCCAAGCCAACTTAGCACTAAAAGTAGTGATTTTAAAGCCTTTATTTTAAAATCTGATTGGAGACAAATTGCCTTGTGTATATCCTTTTGTACCAAATCAGGCAATCGCACAGGGCAGAGAGTGGGGAAAAGCAATGCCATTGCACAGCAAAATTCAAACTAATCTACTGTCTAAACTAAAAAAGTATGATTCCCCACTGGACTTCTTTACACATAACTTTGCATTGTATAGTTGCTGTTTTTAATTCAATTTTGTCCATACCAGATCTAATGCAAACTGCAAAGTAAATTACCAATGTAGATGTCCCCTGAATGTCATGGGTCTGAGTTACATCCGGCAACATATGGCTCTCCAGATATTGTTAGACTACACAATTCATGTTACTTTGCACTAATCTCATTTTGTAAACTCTAGTTCTTGCATAGTATGTACTTGCATTGTGCATAAAGGTGACTACAGTAGTTGGATGTTATATTTTCCCTGAAGTAATTCATCCATATAGTCTTAACACTTATAGATGGTGCCCCATTGTTGAATATTTTATTCTTTAAAAATGTGGAAACATATTTTCCCTGAAGTAATTCATCCATATACTGTAGTCTTAACACTTATAGATGCTGTCCCATTGTTGAATATTTTATTCTATAAAAATGTGGAAAAATAGTTCTGTCTTACAGGTATGGCATACCACAGTAACAAAGTATTGCTTCTTTTGTAGACATTTACACCAAAGCTTATCCTTCTAGATCTGTCTGATGTAAACTGTATCCAAGATGTAGCTAAAGAAATCTTGGATTGTTATGGGTGTGTGGATATACTCATCAACAATGCCAGCACAAAAATTAAGGGTACAGTGCAGAACATCTCCCTGGAAGCTGACAGAAAGATTATGGATGCCAATTATTTTGGGCCAGTAACACTCACCAAAGGTATTTTGGAAATGTGCCTCATTATGATTCTTTTGTTTCTCATTTAGAGACTAAGGTGGAAATTTGTTCATAATTACTTCTTCAATTCCACCTCTGCTTCTGAAATTTTGCAGGTTTTTTACCTAGAAAATGAGTCCTGTTTAACCCTTCCCAGTGCAAAATTTCAGATTATAACATGCATGACCCTTATATTTTGGTACTATGTACAGTTTAAAAAGTAGATGTGTGGGTGAGGCTGTTAGATAATTAACTGATCATGAAGCTGGGTTAGGTAACATTTGAATATCATTTGAGTATTGACTTGAATGTTATAGACAACAGAAAATAAATTATAGAGGCTAAGATACACTTGTCTGATAATAGATTCTAAAACTATTCCTGTTTGTCATTATTTTATCTCAGCTCTTATTCCCAACATGATCTCCAGGAGAACTGGTCAGATCATATTGGTCAACAATATCCAGGGAAAATTAGGAGTCCCATTTCGTGCAGCCTGTAAGTTTATGACTTATTGCATGGACTGTTCAATGTACGACTGTTGAGCTTTAGACCCAGCAAATGGCAATGCGCACTACTCAGTGGCAGTCCAAGCTCTTCCGTGACCTCAGGAAGAAGGACTAAAATTTCCCCATCTTCATTTTGGATCTGCTTTGTCTTTCTCACTTGCCTGGCCTTCAAGATCTTCCTCTTCCTCTCCCCTCCACCCCTTCCCGCTTTGCTTTGTTTCCTCCTTGCTGCTGCATGTCTCTGTTTAAAATGCTGCCAGCCTGGCCTACAGTGTATTCTCTGTATACTTTGTGTAGCTGGTGCTTCTTTGCAGAGAGAGAGTTGGTGAGTGAGCAAGCGAGAAAATGGCAGTGGGGCTGGCAGCCCAGCATGGGCTTGAGATGCCCTACCAAGGAGGAAGGCGTGTGTGTGGATGAATGAATAAAGCAACGGCTATGTCAGATGGAAGAAGAAGGGAAGGAGAAAGGAAAGACCATGGCATACGAGATGCAGAAGGAAGTGAGGAAGATGAAGCTACAGTGGCACACGCCCTTCTGGGAAGGAACATATGAGAGAACACCCAAGCAAAAGCTAGGAAGCTGTCATGAGGAAGGAGGTGTAGTCAGCTATGGAACCCCCAGGAAGTTCAGATTCAGAAGCTGAGGCTCCCTACCTCACTATCATGTCATCTGGCAGTGAATCTCTTCCCCCTGTTTGATTTGTTCCCTCCCAACGAAGCACAGGAAGAAGCCAATTACAAACCCTGAATTGTTGCTTTCTTGTGTCACATCTTCGGTGCACAGTCATTATCTTCTTTTAATATCTGGAAGAATTGCAAGATGGGGGCTTCTTTTCTGCAGAGAGGGGAATGTTCACTGTAAAACTGTCTATGTTGTTGAAATGAGCTGGAGCAATTAGCAGATTAAAAGATGGCACTTTTCAGAATGCTATTTTCCAATTTTTGTTATTTGGAAAGACAGTGTTTAGTTTGAATCTTATAAAGACTGATAAACTAATATATCAGTATTTTACTATCTCTGTTTGTAAAAAGTGTGGTAAAGGGCCGTCTCTCATTTGCTCCTAGATGCGGCTTCAAAGCATGCTGCACTGGGGTTCTTCGACTGCTTGAGAGCAGAACTGCAGGAATTCGGTGTTTGTGTCAGCACGGTGACTCCAAGCTTTATACGTTCATACAGTGTTCAACCACAGCCTAGCAACGGGGAAGCCTCCATGTGGAAATGTAAGATTTACACAAAAGGTTAGGGTGGGGATGGATGATGTGGCACAAAAGGGGGGAAAGTGTTGAACAGGCCCATTGTATTTGGAAAGTTGGAATTCAAAGTAAGGAGAGTTGCTGAGGCACAGCACATGAATCACTAAAAAAAGAAGCTTTTTTTTAAAAAAAGATTAGATTTTGATAAAGTTGGAATACTGTATCTATGGGTAGAAACGAAGATGATTGGGGCTTGTGACTTGTTGACATAACTGAAGACACAGTTTTTGAGAAAGTCCTCTTGAGGGCCCACCTTCTAAAGCAGGGATGAGGAGTGTGTCGGCATCTAAACGTTGCAAGAATCCTCACCACTAGCTGTGCTTACTATGGCTGATGAGAATTGTAGTCCAAGAGCCATATGTCCCTCACCCCATCCTGTTCCATCAAGTGTAAGGATGACAGAGGCATGTGTAGCACTTTGCAATATGAATCTCAGAAAACATGCCCACTCACCAGAGATGCATCTTTGTGTGCAGATAGTAATTCTTCCAGAGATGACACCTGACCATAGTGGGAGGACATGGTTTAATGTTCTCTTCCATATCTGCTTTTCAGCTCTTCTCAGAAAACTGGCCTATGGTGTCCACCCAACAGAGGTAGCAGAAGAAATTCTGCGCACAGTGAACAGGAGGAAACAGGAAGTGTTCATGGCAAATCCTATTGCAAAGACAGCTGTCTACATCCGCACATTCTTTCCAGAGTTATTTTTTGCTGTTGTTGCCGCTGGAGTTAAAGAAAAACAGAAAATAGAAGATGGAAAGTAATTGTATCTTGTTCATCCACCTTGGCAGTAGGATTGTCAGAAGTCTTTATTTTATGGGCAGGTCTATTAAGGAGGTTGAAGCAGGGAAAGACCACACAATTCCAAAAGAAATAAGAAAACATGTCTGAGGGTTTGAAGGCAGTGGAGTTGGGAAAGTTAATGTTTCTAGCTAAAATTAAAGCTACACACCTGAGTAATGGACAGGCTCCAGGGTTCATTGTAAGCCATTGGAAATGCCTGTGGTGCTGCAAAAGAATAGATAGAAGACACAAACGCCCCCAAGAAATGATGTTCTACATGTTGGCTTTTGCCTTAGAGCTGTTGTGGAAACAGGAAAACTTAAATAAATACAGGCCATGTGGTTACTGGGTCTAGGAAGAAATGGAGAAATAGATGGAGATTTTAAAAGAGATGGAGTATGTGGCACGAATGTATGGTGTTCATTTGATAACTGAGAATGAAGAGTGTATGGTGTTCATTTGATAACAGAGCAGGCTTGGTTTGGTGTAGAGAGGAATTTCTCAGAGAAGCAGAATACAGGCAATTCGACAATATTTGGTATATTTGTGGTTTGTGCAAGTATTTCTCTCTCTCTCTCTCTCTCTCTCAATTTCAAAAGCACAAGATTGTATCTAGTGCCTCTAGTAGGACCTGATTTTGGAAATGTTTAGCCATAAAGAATTAAGCAAGTATCAGGGGCGAGTGCTTTGACAGAAATGGATGCACACATATAGTCAGATTTTGGGAAAACCTTACAGAGACTGAAAAAACACTATAGTTTTATTATCTGATGGTGGCAATAACAGGTAATACTATATCACTCAGTAGACACAAAGAAGTGCAGAAACCAGCCTATGACAACTGAAGATTGCTGCAAGCAGCATCGGTCCATCACAATCAATTATTCAAATTATAAGGGAAAAAGTGGAAGGTGTCATAAATGAAATCAAGAACCCCTAGACTTGACAGAGAAATGTATGGGGCTGGTATCCCTTTGTAACTAAATAGCTGCCACAGAATCTATGCAACATCTACATATAATGGGCATAGCAAAACCAAGAGAAGGTGTCATGTTTTAAACTAGCTGTGATGTAACCTGGAACAGAATGTTGTCAAACTGTACATAGCATGGACAATGTGAGAAAAGCGGTTAGAGAGTATTGATCCAGGAGCATAACTGTAACAGGGGCAGTTCTGGTGCCACATGTTTATCTATTGCGGCATCTTTTGTAGCTCCATCCTGGTTCAAGCACTGGCCATATAAGCATGTGTCACATTAGGATAGCAAAAAGCAGAAATAGCTATGTTAACCATAACAAAAATGCCCAATTTCATGTTGTGGTAGCACCTTTATCAGGCCAAACAGGATGACACACAAATGTGTAGCGAGCTGTTGAAACCTTAAGATCTCTTCATCAGGCAAGGTGTTACATAAAGCATTGTCTGCACATTGTCAAGAAACAGCAGGCTCTACAGACTCTAAAACAGGTGTAATCAGCACCATTGTTTGCCCAGGGAGAAGACAATTTTCAGACTCCCCCTAAATATGCATGGTTTGCAGGAGGAGCATGACGGATCTCGAACAGTTGCATAGACAAGACTCGCATACTGTGTAAACTGAAACAAAAGAGTGAAAGAATGCATACTTTCTGAAAATGTCACCTGCATGTATGTATGAAGAGAGAGGACTGAACTGAAAGATGGCTGCTGCTAGGTTTGTGGTTGCTGCAGGACATCCAGAGGTTGGCGCCCAAATAGTAATGCTATGGAGGTGTGCTTCTTCTCTGGTCCTAGCAAAAGGATTAGGGACAAGCCCTCAGCATCTTCCCTGACTCCACTGCCTCTTCATTTCCCCTCTTTTGGCTCACTGGCTTAAACCAGTATCAAATGTTCCTGTCTTCTAAAAGAGAATCCTTCATCTTGAACAACACATTCACATTTAGATATTTCAATTGGAAAATTTTTGAAGAAAGCCACAAGCACAATAAAAAATATTTGACAATAATATGTACATAGTGTTCCCCGTAATGGATTTCAGATCCTGCAACCTTGCCTTGAAGTGGCATAAATAAAGTCCTTGCTTTAACTGTGTACAACACATTTCTTTTCTGTTTTCTACTGAAGGGTGAAGATAAACGGATGAGAGTCTATATATTGTATCTCCACAATAGGTGATCCTGTCTAATAGCATGTGCTCTCCTTCTCTCTTGTGCACAATTCCCCCCTCCTTTCATGCTCTGACAAAATGTGTATTGTGTTCCAATAAGATATCTCTGTTTGGGATGAATGAACATGGAAAGGGAAATTCAATGGCTTCAAGGAACCCAGGCAGTAGCCTATCTCCTTTGGTGCTGCCCCAATTTCCTCCTTGCTTTGATGTGAAATGTCTTTGAGTAACAACTGATTTAAGTGCTTCCAAATAATGGTCTTGGCTTAGTGTTTGCTTTGGCAGCACATACCCTAAAAGTGAAATGATACAGGAAGGTCTGGTATGGGCCCTGTGCTACAACGTGATTCAGTGACGCAATCCATGTTTCTTCCCTTTCCCTGCAACTTCCCTGCTAGACAAGGCATGCCTCTTAGGGAAAAGGGAAGCTGGAGAGGTTCTGTTTTAGGTACTCCCACCTAAGAAGCCTATCTTACATATCCAAGCTCTACTGTTTGAGTCCTTTCAGGCTCCTTGTTGCCATGGTTGAGCAGGAAGATGTACCTTTAGAACATTTTTTAAAATTTTATTTTAAAGCACAACTGTCAAAGGATGCATTTCATAGTTAGGTTCTAAATGCACTAATTCCACTTTATGGCACATGATACTAGTGCTCTGATGTTCACAAACAAATGAACAAGAACAGTAGATGAGAAAAGGGTCCATGCGCAAGAGATGCCCTATCTCTAAGGTGGCCACTAGATGAGGTGGCCGAATGATAAAGCCAATGGACTTGAAATCCATTGTGTTCTTCACAAGTGGGTTCAGATCCCATCCTCATCATGTTTCATGGTCCCAGGGAAAGCACTGAGTAATGGCTGTAAATGTTTCCCAAATAAATGGTATCAGTAACACATCTGAGGTTTTCAGAGAGCTGCTGGTTTGCGCTGGAGGTGTAGGTGAAGGACTGGATATATACATTTGAACCCATAAGCAAGTTCAAACATGCTTATGAGTAATCTGGCCTTTCTCACCACATTACTCATAAACATGTTCAAACCCACCCATAAACATAAAGAGATGTTTCAGTGGGGAAATTACATGTGACAGAAATCCTCCTCATGATTTTGCTATTAGGAAGGCTGTCTATTGCCTGTTACAACTGATTTGGGACTCACAGAAGATCACCAATATACAGTCATGTGAAAAAGAAAGTACACACAGATCTAAAAATTAGGTAAATAAAACCTCAAATGAACAACACATGACATATTACACTGTGGCATGACTTATTTTACAAAAATTAAGTCAACATGGAGAAGCCATGTGTGAAAAACTAAGTAAACCCTTACTGTTCCCATAGGAATTAAGAGGCTAAGTAGCAGCCAGGTTCGTTCGTTCGTTTAGTCGTGTCCGACTCTTCGTGACCCCATGGACCAGAGCACGCCAGGCCCTCCTGTCTTCCACTGCCTCCTGGAGTTGGGTCAGATTCATGTTGGTTGCTTCGGTGACACTGTCCAACCATCTCATCCTCTGTTGTCCCCTTCTCCTCTTGCCTTCACACTTTCCCAACATTAAGGTCTTTTCCAGGGAGTCCTCTCTTCTCATGAGATGGCCAAAGTACTGGAGCCTCAGCTTCAGGATCTGTCCTTCCAGTGAGCGCTCAGGGTTGATTTCCTTTAGAATTGATAGGTTTGTTCTCCTTGCAGTCCAGGGGATTCTTAAGAGCCTTCTCCAGCACCACAATTCAAAGGCATCAATTCTTCGGTGGTCTGCTATCTTTATGGTCCAGCTTTCACTTCCATACATCACTACAGGAAAAACCATAGCTTTGACTATTCGGACTTTTGTTGGCAAGGTGATGTCTCTGCTTTTTAAGATGCTGTCAAGGTTTGTCATCGCTTTCCGCCCAAGAAGCAGGCGTCTTTTAATTTCATGGCTGCTGTCTCCATCTGCAGTGATTATGGAGCCCAGGAAAGTAAAATCTGTCACTGCCTCCATATCTTCCCCTTCTATTTCCCAGGAGGGGATGGGACCAGTGGCCATGATCTTAGTTTTTTTGATGTTGAGTTTCAGACCGTTTTTTGCACTCTCCTCTTTCACCCTGCAGAAACCAAAGCAACAGAGTTTCTGTTTGTGCAGTGGCATAGCAAATACTCTCCCTGCAGAAGTGGCTGGGAAAGATCAGTCCTGGGTATAATGGACCATTTTTGCCGTAAAACCAAAGAGGATTTTGGTCTTTATTGTTAATAGACACGTTTACTTGTGTTATCAGTGTTGGCTCTAACACTGACAAATTTGCTTCCTGTGGCAGCTGCGACAATGCAGCTGCAAGGTACTGGATGTATGTCATATTGCCTCCCCTATGCCCCCTAAACCAGTCAGCTCACCTTGGATGAGGTGAACAGTGTCATCCTATTACCAATGTTGATTGCCCATTCAACGGCTGGTGCAGTCAGCTTTTGTATATGGAATGGGACAGGGAGCCATCTTCTTTGTCTGAGGCAGCAATATGTTTTGAACAGCTCTTTGTATACCAAAAGAGAAAAATGACTGGATTATAGACAAGAGGCTGAGATGTGGCCTTTAGACCACAAACCTCCCCCAAAGTTACTTTTTTGTCAGTGAAAAATATGTTTTTAAAAACCCTATGAAAATGATTAGTAGTGGTTTTCCCACACCTCTATGAGTAATTTCCCAATGTTATGTTATCTGTGGAATTATGGAAGTTGCAGACCAGGCCTGTGGCACAACAAAACTGGTGAAAAGCTACAGGGGCAAAATATATGCAATTGGCAGAGAAGAAGCATAAATGGTTGTAACTAGCTTGCTTCAGAGTGAAGGGGGAACACCAAAACTTCATTTTGTTGCTGGCCATGGATACTTGGAAAGACACATTGGACACAGGGTAACCTCAGGTCTCCCAGGTTTTGTTGGAACTTAAAATGAAGAAACCATAGCATTATAAAAGAAATTATACAAGGACAGCAAGCCTCTTTTTCAGATCTTTGGCAAAGGTGTGAATGTCAGGAAGATTATGTCAATGGGCAGGTGTGACATTGGGAGGAAAGTCAGAAGTGCAGTCTCTGAGTCTCCTTTTAATATTATGTGCCATCAAGTCGCCCCCCAACTAATGGCAGCCCCATGAATGAGTGATCTCCAATGTGTCCTGTCTTCAGCTCTTGCAAACTCAAGCCTTTTAGGGAACCAATCCATCTCATATTTGGTCTTCCTCTTTTCCTGCACCCTTCCAATTTTCCCAAAGGCAGCAGGACAATCCTGTCTTCTCATGATGTGCCCAAAGTAGGAGAACCTCAGTTTCATAATTGTTGCCTCCAGAGGGAGTTCGGGCTTGATTTGCCTTAAGACCCACTTGTTTTGACTTTCCGGCAGTCCAAGGTATCTGAAAACTCTCCTCCAGCACCATCTTTCCAGCTCTCCTTCACTTACATGTTAAACTGATGCACATGAACAAGGGCTTGAAACTGGCCTAGATGTATGTTGGTACTGTCTTTGCCTTTCCAAGAAAGAAGACCTCCATCCTGTTTCCTTTCGGCAGATCTCGTGCAATAAATCCTTGACAAGCGCTTGCCTCTAAGATTCACCTTAGCCCCCCACCCCACCCCTTTTCCAACCTGGGACTGAATCTGACTGTCCACCCGTTGGCCATATATTTGGAACCCCATGACTTTCCCTCTTTTTTTTAATAAAAAGATCTACCCTGGTGAAAAGCTCTAGAGACCTCAGAAGCTTCCAATTATGTGCGTTTACCGTTTAACCCTAGGAAACAAATGCCCCATCGGCGGATTTTGTTTTAATGAGACATACGAGGAGCTTCCCCTCGGGTTCAGCAACCCTACACCCATCCATACAATACACCCGCGTCTCCTGACGCGAAGCCTTCGTGCTTGTGACGCTCGCTGCCTCGCCCACCATAGCGTGCGTTCCGTGCACCTGTCTTGTGTTGGACGGAGCCATCCGAGAGGCGCCCTCTCTACGTTCACCTCAGTCTCATTCTACTCTTGTGTAACTTCACTTCCGAACCGCGGCGCTTGCTGCGGCGGCGATATGACTCCAGCCCCCTCGCCGAGTGTCGTTCCCCCTTTCATAGAGCTGTTAGCCGACAGGAGGGCACCCCGCCCTCGTTCACACCCGCTTCTTCCCCGAGGCCCGTTCACAAGGGCAGCTGGCGGGTCTTGGCGGACGATTCCCTCGGCGGGGTCTCTTCGCGGTCGCCTTGGAACTTAAAATGGCCGCCGCGGCCAAGCCTTGGTTTGGGAATGAGGTATCCTTCCCTTTGTGTGGTCGCGACATCTACCAGACTTGGACCGCTTGCGCCCTGGATTAAAGCGCTTTTTGAATTCTAAACAAGTTATTTCTCCGGGGCTCAAACAGCAACCCGTGTGGCTTCTAGCACCGTCCCCACGTTCACCTCGAAAGGATAGCGTCCTTTCCCCCACACGCTACCTTCTGAAGGCGTCTTTGCGGCGTTACCCTCCTCGCTCGCTTTGAGCGCTGAACTTTTTCCATTTACGCGCCTGTATTCTTGGTCTGATGAGCTGCTTTAGATGTATCCGTTCCGATTATTATTTTCTTTAGCGGTTTGATAATTGAACGAGATCTTTTCCGACCTCTTCTTCGCAACGCTGAGTGAAGCCCTGAGCTTACATGCTCTCTCGAAAACACAAACGGACCCGGAATGGTTCTTACGATGTTGCAATGGATTTTCTATCTAAAAGAGTTCTCGCTTGGGAAACAGGTTGACCGAGAAATGATGTGGTCCCATCCTGCTGCGATTTTGTAGGGTGTGCCATAGTGCATTTCAGTGAATAAGTGCAAAACAAGCCGCGTTTCACAACAGCTGGTTCCATGGTGTAATGGTCAGCACTCTGGACTCTGAATCCAGCGATCCGAGTTCAAATCTCGGTGGAACCTTCTGAAGCGTCCATTTTGACGAAGAAAGAAAACCCATTTTTCCCTCACCT